AGGCTTTTCCAACATTTGGTCCGCATACACTGGGCCAAATGTTGGCACATGATCTTAGTCAAGTGGTTTTAGGTCAATATTTTCAAAAGTGGCAACTCGATATGACCCCGCTGCCATGCATTTGGTAAACCCTCGGGACACTGTGGCTACTCATTTTGGGACTGTGACACCGAGTACATTTCCTTGACCTGAAAAGCTCCGTGTAAGCTCAAAAGCTTGTTTCTGTCCCCAACAGAAGTTTGTCCAAGGAAAGATAATTTCACCTACCTTGTTTCTTCACCTACTTTGTTTCTCTGGATTAAACATATTCTTCTTTGAGAGCTTGCTCATATCAATTCCAATAAGATGTGCGAATGTCACGTGCATGGCTGTCAGGAAGTTTTACCCTAGTTACTCCTGGAGTGGTGCCAATGCAGCACACTACGTATGACCCTGCTGACCTGCCTGCCTCTCAGTTCCTTCTTACCACCAGAGATGGCTGTTGGAACCGTGGCTCTCTTGCACTGCAAGTGCTATGTGTCCCTAGAGTTTACAACTTGCTTGTTTGTTAATTGTTAGGTCAGTGGGAGGTGAAGGGGTTTTCCTGTCCCAGGGACATGTGCAAGTCCCAGGGCTTCAAACCCTGCAGGTCTTGCGTAAAATGTATGCACACAAGTGACCCTCACGGCTTGTGCCTCTGGTGCCTGGGGGAAGCTTATCAAGCAGATAGGTACAAGATCTGCAAGGCCTTCAAACCACATTCCAGAAAAGAGCGGGGACTTTCACTTGAAGCGGCTCCTACTGGAATCCACTCTTTGGCCTCGAGGACAGAACTCGGCACTGAGTGCTTTGGTGTGCAGTGTGCTGCCTTCAGCCCTGGACTCCCAGGAGTCGACGCCGAAGAAAGGCTCATCCTGACACCAGTACTCACCGAAGGCCACGACGTCCAAGCACTGGTCACACTGCTGGCCAAGTCTTCCAGAGTGGCCAAGCCTTTGTCCTGCACATTGCAAGCTCCAGAACTTCTCCCACCCACTCCTGTAATAGACCCTCATCGCTCCTTGCCACACAGGACTGGGGTGAGGACAAATCCACTAGAGAGTTTGAGGGGCTGGGGCTGGAGAATCAGGCCAGTTGCTAGAGAGAGCTCACCCAGCCCAGCAGGTGCCAGGCAAAGCGATGGCGGGGAAGGTGCAGTGGAGCCAAGCTGTGGTGGAGAAGCGGCTTTTCTTCCTCCCCCATCTCCCTGCTCCTCTTGCTGGCGCTGGGCAGGGTGGGGGTGGGGAGCTCCAGGTAGGCTAGTGGTGGTGGTAGCAGCTGCTAGCTGTGAGGACAAGGGGCCAGACGGTGCAGAAGGAGATAAGCTAATGGAGAAAGGGGCGGAACAAGAGAAGCTGCTTTTGGGGCTCACTCCCCCTTGGACTTCCTCTCCTTCTCCAAACACTTGTCGCAGGCCCTTACTGCCCCCATAACCCTTTCCCCCGTAGCTCAGATTACCTATCCCTCTTCACATCCTCCCACCCCATGAAACAATCTCCCCTCCTGATGTTCTGCTATAGCATCCTATCCCATGAGCCCCTGCTTCTCACTGGCTGCCCCAGGGTTCCCCCAAGCCCTCCTTGCTTTTGTGTCTGTGGATGTGGGGACTAGGTTCCTGCCTCCCCCACAGCTGCCCATCTGCTCTGAGCAGGGTTCTATCGAGGGGAAACCAATGGCTTTTCTACATCACAGACGGAGCTTCTCAACTCTTAGCTCTTGGATCTGGCTGGGGCTAGTTGCATCTTGCCCCTTACCTTTGGCTTAGGTCGGGGCCCTTAAAGAGTCAGGGTACTCTTAGCACTTTGGTGTTGCATAATATAGTCCCTCCCAAATTGGCGTTTCAGATCCATCTCTCCATATAGAATCCTTGCCCCCAGCAAGTGGCCTATTCCACAGGTACTGGGTTAAGCCACTTCCTACCAGAGGGTATGTCTACACAAGCCCCCTAGATCGATCTGGGAGGCTAATGAGGGCGACCAGAATTGCAAACCAAGCCCGGGATTTAAATATCCCGCGCTTGATTTGCATGTTCCCAGCCGGTCGCCATTTTAGAAATTGACTAGCCCGAAGTAACTGCCCGGGTTTACACGCAGCAGTGAAACGGGATTCCGATTTAAAGCCCTAACTCGAATTAGCTGGTATTCTTCCTGCAATGAGGTTTACCAGCTAATTCGAGGATAGCATGGGGGCGCTGCCTCTCCATTGGAGGAATTTATTTATTCTAATTTAATCTCTTTCAGTATTGTCCTAGTCACAAACTTGGCACGTGCCTGTATCATAGCTCCATGGTGCTCTTCCCCCTTGCTGTGGCTCTGCTAGAGGGATGTGCGACCGACGTACAGCTCCTGCGGATGGTGGCCGCTTTGCTCAGGGGGTTATTCTCTAGTTTGCCGAGCAGCGGGCAAAGGGTTTGTAGAAACCCGGTCCCATGTGTGAAGCAGCTGAACATTGCCCGTGGAGATCAGAAACAGGCTTCTTTGGCCCCACAAGCCTTCTGGTGCATCTCCGCTCCTCCTCCCTGTATGATCCCTGTGACCTTTCATTTCCCCTGGCTCCAAGGGCCTTTTGAAGATGAGTGTCCAGTGGTGATTGAGTGTAACAAATGGTTCTGAAATGTCATGGAGGTCACCAGTAGCAGGAGCCCCACTGACTTTCCTGCATAGTCCAGCAACCTGTCACTGTCTCCTACGCTGTTGTTCCCTCACCCGGTGAAAGACCTGCAGAGGCGCTGCATACCCGTGTGTCCCATTATAGGCAGGGCTGCCCCCTTCTCTTATGTCATGAAGAGCCTGTTGATTGGAAACAAGAAATCAGAACTGTTATTGTCAAGACAGATTCTGCTGGGTGGATCAGCTGTCTGAGAGAGGAGAGCCCGCTATCCTTTCCTGGGGTCTGTGTGGGGTGAGAGCTGCTCTGAGGGGTGTCTGCCTTCCAGAAGCTTCAGGGACCAGGAGCCCTGAGCTGGGCCCTGAACTCTGGCTCTTCCACGTGGGAATGTTGTATGGTCTGGCTGGGCCAGACCCATCCGAGGCCACATTGGAGACTGGGTGCTGTGAATCTGTTAGGGTCAAAGCTCAGTGCATTTGAGCCTGGAAGGGATCTTATCTGTGGGCTGGGCAGCTCAGCTGGAGGAGCAAATGCCCTCTTCCTGCCAGTTTTGGGCTCAGCGGCCCAACTTTTAAATAAAACATTAGCCTTCTGCTTAGCGGTGCTAGTGTCACTTCTGTGGGGATCTCGAGAGTTGTTTTTGCTTTGCACGTGGGCAGAGTGAGAGAGACACACAGAGGGGAAGTGACTCACCCAAAACTCCTCCTCCCCAGTTGGCTACATTAACCATTAGGCCACTGGTGTTTCTGTGGGTCTCTTAATAAAATATTAAAGGACAGGGCCATAGAAAACACAAGGTGAAATTTAATGTGGATAAGTGTAAAGTAATGCACATCAGGAAAAATAACCCCAATTATACGTACAGTATGATGGAGGCTAATGTGGCTATGACAAATCAGGAAAGAGATCTTGGAGTTATCGTGGATAGTTCTCTGAAAACTTCCACGCAGTGTGCAGTGGCGGTCAAAAAGGCAAATAGGATGCTAGGAATTATTAAGAAAAGGATAGAAAATAAGACACAGAATATCTTACTGCCCCTGTATAAAACTATGGTACGCCCACATCTTGAATACTGTGTACAGATGTGATCTCCTCACCTCAAAAAAGATATTTTGGCCTTGGAGAGGGTTCAGAAAAGGGCAGCTACAATGATTAGGGGCTTGGAAGGGGTCCCATATGAAGAGAGGTTAAAGCGACTGGGACTTTTCAGTTTAGAAAAGAGGAGACTGAGGGGGGATATGATAGAGGTCTATAAAATCATGAGTGGTGTGGAGAGGGCGGATAAAGAAAAGTTATTTATTAGTTCCCATAATAGAAGAAGTAGAGGACACCAAATGAAATTAATGGGGAGCAGGTTTAAAACTAATAAAAGAAAATTCTTCTTTACACAGCGTATAGTCAACCTGTGGAACTCCTTGCCAGAGCAGGCTGTGAAGGCTAGGACTATAACAGAGTTTAAAGAGAAGCTAGATAATTTCATGGAGGTTAGGTCCATAAAAGGCGATTAGCCAGGGGATAGAAATGGTGTCCCTGGCCTCTGTTTGTCAGAGGCCGGAGAAGGATGGCAGGAGACAAATCGCTTGATCATTGTCTTTAGTCCACCCTCTCTGGGGCACCTGGTGCTGGCCACTGTCGGCAGACAGGCTACTGGGCTAGATGGACCTTTGGTCTGACCCAGTACGGCCATTCTTATGTCCTTATGTGATGGCTTGTCCCCCAAAGCTGCAGAGAATTGGAGATAATACTAAAAAAACAAGATAAATTGGATGTGAGGGGGTTATAATGGAAACCTCCTGAGTTCCACAGTGTGGGAGCAACAGCTTATGTGAGGATTGCAAACGCAATAGCCTCTGTTTCCCACAGACTCTGCATAGGGCTTTGGGCAAAGCCAAGGAATGTCTCCTATAGACCATTTCTTAAACTGGGATCCATGGACCCCTGTGGGTCTGCTAGAGTCCTCGTGCTGGGCCCACTGATCAATTCCTCCACCTCCCTCCTAGTCCCCACTGTGCATTGCGATCAGCTGTTCCACGTTATGCAAATGGTTCTGGGAAGGAGGGGCAGAGCAGGGAGAAGGCAGAAGGAGGCAGGGAAGAAGTGGTGTGGGGATGAGGTTTTGGGGTGTGGTGCAGGAATGGGGCTTTGGAGTAGGGGTATAGTGGGGGTGGGGCCTGCAGCTGAGCAGGGTGGGCTTGAGGAGTTTAAAGATTTTAACATCAAAATGGGGGTGCTCGGGCTGGTAAAGTTTGAGAACTGCTGCTATCAGCCGTTTCCTGGGTGTTGCTTGCTGCCTGTGTCAGACAGTACTTCCCCTGCTTGAAACAGCCTGACTGTCCTGTTGTGCCAAGCGCTGAGCCTGTCCTTCCTCTCCACAGACACATAGAGAACTGGAAGAACTTGCAGACGCTGAATGCTGTAGACATGGAGCTGTACACGGGACTCCAGAGGCTGTGAGTATCAGGCCTGGATGAGGGTGAGAGACCTGAAGGGTGGTGAGGGGGCAGCCAGTTCAGGTGGCAGCAGGGAACTATTGCTCCTCTCATCCTACAGCCTCTGCCCTATGATGCAGAGAGCACAGCGGGCTGCTCCCAGGCTCATGCAGAACCTTGATTTTTCTCAGCTGCTGGTGCCTTCCGGTCCTAGCTAGAACCTGGTCAGGCTGTCTGGGGGCTTTACACAGCTCTGCCAATACTCTTCAGTCCTAAGCTGGATCACCCCCGCTAGTCCAGTTCTGGGTCCATACTCTGCTCTCCTAAGATGTGAACCACCGGCCTTGTATCTCTGTGAACTTACACACACCCTTTCACTGAAGCAGAGGACTGCTTTGCAGGCACCATGTCCTCTGCGTACCCTTTGGAAGTAGGGATGTTGTGGAATCCCTATTTTACAGATGGGGGGGCTGCGGTATGGAGAGAGGAAGTGTTTTGTCAGATACACAGGAAGTCTCGAGTAGAGCCAGGAGCAGCACCCAGACCTTTCACATCCCATTCCAGTGCCTTAAACTGTGCAGCTACGTCTACACTATGAGTTTTCTCGGCAAAAAATATGCTAATGAGGGACTTATTTGGATGAGTCATGATCTCATTTGCATATTTTCTGCCGATACATTTTTGCGCAAAAACAAGCAGTGTGGATGTTTTCTTTTTGCGCAAAACCCCTTTTTCCTCAAGAGCCTTAGATATATCGATCTTTCAGAAAAAGATTTTTTTGCGCAAAAAGAAAACATCCATACTGCTTGTTTTTGCGTAAAAACCCCTAGCGCAAAAAATATGCAAGAAAATATGCAAATGAGATTGTGACTCATGCAAATGAGTCCCTCATTAGCATATTTTTTGCTGCGAAAACTCATAGGCTGTGTCTAGACTGCAGGGTTTTTTCGAAAAAAGTAGCCTTTTTCGAAAAAACTTCACCTGCATCTAGACTACAGCCGCGTTCTTTCGAAATTAAATCGAAAGAATGCGGCTTTTCTTTCGACGGCGGTACTCCTCATTTCACGAGGAAGAACGCCTTTTTTCAATGCTCTTTCAAAAAAAGGCGTTCTTGAATGCAAACAGGGCTTTTTCGAAAGAGAGCATCCAGACTGCCTGGGTGCTCTCTTTCGAAAAAGCGACTTGCTTTTTCGAAAGTACTGCGTGCAGTCTAGACATTCTTTTTTGAAAAAGCCTCTTTTGAAAGAGGCTTGCAGTCTAGACGTAGCCATAGTGTAGATGTAGCCTGCCTCTCTCAAGCAGATGCTGAATTATACTAGGTGATGGTTCTGTAATGTGCAGACATGGTCACCAGGGGTTAAGGTGAAAGTCTCCAACCTCATTTCAGTGGGAAACCTACAGCAAAAACCAGCAGGGAGCTATTTAAAGAGCTGGCAGTGACTGAGGTTGCATTAGGACAGTACCTGTAAGAAATGTTAAGTTACTTTCACTGCTGCAGAGCACCAAATAAATCCCCAGCCTATGAACTCTGGGTGGGTGAGATTGAGTCTAGGAAAGCTGGCATGGAGTCTGGTATCTTGCCCATAGAAGAGATTAAGAAATCATGGCCACAGTGTTGATTTAGCTCAGACAAAGCAAGAGAGGAAGAGAATCCTTCTCAGCTCTTCTTATTTTGCTGGGAAAAACCTCATTTGTCCTCCAGCACTCAAAACAAAAAGTTTTCCCCTTGGGTTGAATGTCTGCGGAGCTCCCCTGTAGATGTTTATATCCATCACAGATCTCTAGAACAATGGGCCCCAGGATGCTATGGACCAGAGATAGCAAGGACCATGGGGATAGCAGGTCCAGATTGAGGAGCACTGGCAGAGATGTGTTTGGGGAGTTTAGGACTGGATTAGCAGGCATGCGGCTGATGAAGACCAAAGTGCATTGGTAATGCCATGGGTGGAAGTCCATGTCTGCAGTAGCAGGGAAAAATGCTGTGCATCGTGCGTCGGCAGAGCTGCTTAGGAGAGGCTTGTGCAGTGTCTGCTCACGCTTTGCCTGCTCTTGACAGTACTAGATCTATCAGATTAAATCGAGATAACCAGAGTCCTTTCCCTTTGTGACCTTACCCAGGTCTTCTGAGGCGAGAGATTAAAACATTCCCTCCTCTCCACGCCTGCTAACTCCCCGAGCGTCCCCTGCTGAAACGGTTTTGCTCAGCCTGTCACTTCCAGTTTTATGGGCATTTTCTCTCAACTATCTCCTTGAGTTTAGCAAAGGGTTTTGAGTGCTCATTGATCCTCAACCTTTTCGCCATCACTGTCCTTTTAAATCTCCTTCCAGGACAATCAAGAACTCAGGACTTCGCAGCATCCAACCGCGAGCCTTTGCTAAGAACCCTCATCTGCACTACATGTGAGTAACGTTGTCCCCCTGGACTGCTGTTCCCTATAGAAAGGTTATCTCCAATGCGGTTACTCCTCAGGGGAAAGCTCTGGGCTGCAATGACAGGTGAATGAAGGAGGGGAATAGAAGAGAAAAGTGAAGGGGATGGGGAGAAGGGCACAGAGAGGGAGGTGTGGGGAAGGTGAGAGCATTGAACAATTCTCTCCTGCTGGCAGGTTGACATATTTAGGTGTCTAAGAATTGGGTTGGCTTTGATTGTGGCTTTAATGAGCGCTTGCCTCATTAGCACCCCTGCAGCGGCCAGCAGAAGTTTCCCTGTGTGTGGAGTTCAGGGGACTGCGGGTGGTGGGTGGTGGCAGCATGCCCTCATGCACAGCCTGAGCCTGCACCGTTCATTAACATTTAACAGGTACAGCAGGCTTTGCAGACACAGATTTTTCTGTCACTTCAGGGAGGTGGCTGGCAGCTGTGCTCCTAATTATTGACTTGTTAAATGGGCATTTGAGGTGGCCCTGGGGGCAAGCCCAGAGATTGCCTGCTGGAGGTTATTGGAAGATAAGCAGAGATGGTAAGGAAGTGGGGCTCTGGAATTTGGAAGGATGCAAGCCAGTAAATAGCACTCAGTTTTTCGGAGGAGTACCTGAGAAGGCTGGGCTGTATCCCATGGAAAGTACAAGCACTGGAGGCCGAGGGGCAACATTTCTCTTCAGAAAAGGCTGGAATACCAGCACAGATGCAAAGCGCATCGAAGGCCTGGAGTGAGTGATACAGGATGAGACCCCTCTGAGCTCCAGTGTAAAGGCTAGAAGTGGGCTTGATTATTGTGAGAATTTTGGTGCCTTGTGTGTGAGCCCATGTGTTTTGGAAGGTGGGGGGGAGGAATATAGCTAGGGTCTTACCAAATTCATGGTCCATTTTGGTCAGTTTTAGAGTAATTGGATTTTAAAAATTGTACATTTCATGACTGCAGCTATTTAAATAGGAAATGTCCTATTGTAATTGTAGGGGTCATGGCCCAAGAAAGGGTGGCTGGAGACCACAAGGCACTGCTCCCCTTCTGCACTGGTGCTGATAGCAGCACTGACTTCAGTGCTGGGCAGCTGGAGAGCAGCAGCTGCTGACCAGGAGCCTAACTTTGTGGGCAGGGATGCTGCCAGCAGCAGCACAGACATATGGATGGCAAGGTATGGTATGGTGCTGCCACCCTTACTGCTGCCTGCAGATCTGGACCCTCAGTCAGAAGCCACCACTCTCCAGGAAGCAACCCAGAAGTAAGGGTGGCATGGTATGGTATTTACTTCTGCGCTACAGCTGGTGGAGTGCTGTCTTCAGAGCTGGTTGCCTGGCCAGCAGCTGCCACTCTCCAGCCACCTAGCTCTGAAGGCAGAACAGAAGTGAGGGTGGCAATACTGTGAACCTCCTAAAATAACAGTGTGACCCACCCTGCAACTTCCTTTTAGGTCAGGACCCCCAATTTGAGAAATGCTGGTCTCGCCTGTGAAATCTGCACAGTATAGGATAAAAGCACACACAATCCCAGATTTCCCAGGAAGAGAGTGGATTTCAAGTTCCTTTACACGTTTTTTCATGGCCAAGAACGTGGTAGGGCCCTAGGTGTAGCTAACCGCTGCTCTGAATTGTATGCTGTCAGCCATTTCAATGAAAACTGGTTATAACTAACCCTCCCTCCCATCCTTCTGGTTCTGTGAGCACGTGTTGCCATCTGTATGGGCATGTTCCTGACAACAAGAGATGGGTGATGGCACAGTGGGGTACACTTTCCTCACATTAACACAAATGCCTGAAAGTTTCATTGTGAAAGCTAGTTGCAGTTGCTAAGTGACAGCAATGTACTTACCTAACAGGTTCTTTACAAAATGAAAGCACTTAAAAATCAAACACATGAGTAGTTAAGGACATCATAGAACTTGAACTGCCCACCTAATAAACACACACAGTTTTCACTAAGCCTAAAGAAATGCAGATTTTATCACAAGAAAGCAGTTTAAATTCCGACCCATTGATTTTTTTTTTAATGTATCCTCTTGGCTGTTTTGGTTGTGCTTTCTAAATATTTTCTTTGATGGGGTACTATTGAATGGGGAAACCATGTAATGCATTTATTACTTGACTTTGAATTATTGGGCAAGGTGGCTGTGGTTGCTGATTCTTACAGGTAATATTGTCTAGGCAAGAAGCAAAATTATTGCTTCATGGTAAAGTTATGTAGATGAGCTTGATTTTGAGGCTGATCAATATGTGCCATGAGTCTGTACATACACAATTACTGCTTCTCTTTTAGAGAGAGTTTTGCAGTTTGAGATGGTTGAACAAATCACTTTTAGTCTGGGGTAGCGGGAAGGTTGCAAAATGTTTGTTTACTGTAGGCCATGTAAGATGTAAACCTCCTTAACTTGAGGATCTTTTCCTTGCCTTGAAGTTCTTGGGTCTGCTGCTGTAGGTAATGGCATTGTTCAGTTAATATCCTTAACTTTTTTCTTGTTTAAACTAAGTAGCAGGGTTTTGGTATTATGTTCTGGGCATGCTTAGTTCTTCACATGGGAGCGTGGGGCTTGAGAGAAGGATTACGTCTGTTCTTCTGATTGCTGTACTCCTGTCCAAAAACAGGCACAGCCCCTGCTTTTCATTGTTTGTTCCGACACTGCATCGTGCGTAGGGTCCTCTCCATGCCTTCTGGTCACAGTTACTTTCTGCCTGTAGTGTCTTGGATCATCTTTGGAATTACCTGTCTGCTCCCTGGAGAGTTTCCCCTATCACCATGCCAACCACTTGGTGGGGTCTTGTCTCTGTGTGTATGTTGGGGGAGAGGTTGGATGCTTTGCAAATGGATTCTGAGGCAGTGTACACCAAATGCTTGAGTGAGAAAATAGTGAGAGGCTGAGTGGAGAAGATGGTGGGGCACAGGGGTGTTACGGCCCAGCCCAGAAGTGATTGGGTAACAAAATGGCAAATTAAATGTAATGTCGATAAACGTAAAATAATGCACATTGGAAAAAATAATCCCAACTATACATATAATATGATGGGGACTAATTTAGATACAACCTCTCTAGAGACAGATCTTGGAGAAATTTTGGATAGTTCTCTGAAAACAACCACTCAATGTGCAGCAGCAGTCAAAAAATCAAATAGAATGTTAGGAATCATTAAAAAAGGGATAGAGAATAAAACAGAGAATATCTTACTGACTCTATTTAAATCCATGGGATGCCCACATCTTGAATACTGAATACAGAAGTGGTCACCTCATCTCCAAAAAGATATATTGCCACTGGAAAAGGTGCAGAAAAGTGCAACAAAAATGATTAGGGGTTTGGAATGAGTGCCATATGAAGAAAGATTAAAAAGACTGGGATTTTCCCTTTAGAAAAGAGGACACTAAGGGGGGATATGATAGAGGTTTATAAAATCATAACTGGTGTGGAAAAAGTGAATAAGGAAAAATTATGTACTTGTTCCTATAACATAAGAACTAGGGGTCACCTAGGCCGTGTCCAGACTCAGGGTTTTTTTCGGGAAAAGTAGCCTTTTCCCGAAAAAACTTCCCCTGCGTCCAGACTCAAGCCGTGTTCTTGCAAAATTATTTCGAAAGAACGCGGCTTTTCTTTCGATGGCGGTAAACCTCATTTCACGAGGAAGAACGCCTTCTTTTGAAAGTTCCTCTTTCGAAAGAAGGTGTTCTTCAATGTAAAGAGGCCGTCTTCGAAAGAGAGCATCCAGACTCGCTGGGTGCTCTCTTTCGAAAAAGCGGATTTCTCTTTTGAAAGATCCGCCTGCAGTCTAGACGCGATCTTTCGAAAGAGCCTCTTTCGAAAGAAGCCTGCAGTCTAGACATAGCCCAAATGAAATGAATAGATAGCAGGTTTAAAACAAAGGGAAGTTTTTCTTCACACAGTGCATGGTCAGCCTGTGGAACTCCTTGCCAGAAGAGGCTGTGAAGACCAAGACTTTCACAGGGTTCAAAAAGGAACTAGATACATTCATTTAGATTTGGTCCATCAATGGCTATGAACCAGAATGTGTAGGAATGGTGTCCCTAGCCTCTGTTTGTCAGAGGCTGGAAATGGGTGACAGGAGAGGGATCACATGATGATTACCTGTTCTGTTCACTCCCTGTCCAATGTCGGCAGACAGGATACTGGGCTAGATGGACCTTTGGTTTGACTTAGTATGGCCGCTCTTATGTTCTTAAAGGGTATCACAGTGGGTGCTGGATGCTGGGGTTGAGGGATAGCAGCAGACTTGTACCTGGGGAAGCTTGCATACCGATTTATACTACTTTACTGGTTGGTGGTGTTTTTTTCTCTCTGGGAAAAAATCCCAACATCATCTACCACTGTATCATCTCTCTCCCTTCCCCCGGGGGTTTGAGAGAGGTTCCCTCCGTCAGACAGGCTGGGTTTTTCTGCCTTCTCCCAGCTCCTTCTATTTCTGTTCCTTTCTTGGTGCATTTACAAGTCTCCAGACCCCAGCTGTGCAATCACAAGATGATCACTTACTCCAGCTCTAATTGCAGGAGCTCTGCTTTGCTGGGGTTTATTTAAAACAATGGCTCTGAACGAGTTTTCCCTGCACAGAGTAAAAAAGGGAAAATGAGAGGTTTTGCAGCACTCAGTTGCTCCATGTCTCTGAATACTCCAGTGCCTTCTTACGGCCCATAGTTGCCCTTGCGAGGTTAGCCCTGTGCATGGTCCTTGGTGTGTGATGTGCTGGGGTGAGCAATGGATGACTGATGAAAACAAACCCTAGGAAGGTGGAGAATAGATCCATAAATAGCCTTAGCCCACTTTTGGGAGAGAGCAGAACTAGGTCTATTGGCCTATTCAGTCTTTGGTGCTGCAGAGTTTGTCAGCAAGGGGACAATTAGCCCCAAATGGGGTAGTGGTATTTATAAAGTGGTTGTCTCTGGCCCACTGGTAACAGGACTGAGGCCACTGGGGGTACGTATGCTCTGCAATTCAAATCCGGTGGCTGGCCTGGGCCTCGCT